ATACACCACCTCTTCTTTATCCATTCATCTGTTGATGGACATCTAGGTTCTTTCCATAGTTTGGCTATTGTGGACTTTGCTGTCATAAACATTTGGGTGCATGTGCCCCTTCGGAGCACCATGTTTGTATCTTTAGGATATATACCCAGCAGTGCAATTGCTGGGTCATAGGGTAGCTCTATTTTCAGTTTTTTGAGGAACCTCCACACTGTTTTCCAGAGTGGTTACACCAGCTTGCATTCCCACCAGCAGTGCAGGAGGGTTCCCCTTTCTCCACATCCTCGCCAGCATCTGTCATTTCCTGAATTGTAAATTTTAGCCATTCTGACTGGTGTGAGGTGGTATCTCATTGTGGTTTTGATTTGTATTTCCCTGATGCCGAGAGATGTGGAACATTTTTTCATGTGTCTGTTGGCCATCTGAATGTCTTCTTTGCAGAAATGTCTGTTCAGGTCCTCTGCCCATTTCTTGATTGGATTATTTGTTCTTTGGGTGTTGAGTTTGCTAAGCTCTTTATAGATTTTGGATACTAGCCCTTTATCTGATATGTCCTTTGCAAATATCTTCTCCCATTCGGTCAGTTGTCTTTTGGTTTTGTTAACTGTTTCCTTTGCTGTGCAAAAGCTTTTGATCTTGATGAAATTCCAATAGTTCATTTTTGCCCTTGCTTCCATTGCCTTTGGCGATGTTCCTAGGAAGAAGTTGCTGCAGGTGAGGTCGAAGAGGTTGCTGCCTGTGTTCTCCTCAAGGATTTTGATGGATTCCTTTCTCACATTGAGGTCCTTCATCCATTTTGAGTCTATTTTCATGTGTGGTGTAAGGAAGTCGTCCAATTTCATTTTTCTCCATGTGGCTGTCCAATTTTCCAAGCACCATTTGTTGAAGAGGCTGTCTTTTTTCCATTGGACATTCTTTCCTGCTTTGTTGAAGATTAGTTGACCATAGAATTGAGGGTCTATTTCTGGGCTCTCTATTCTGTTCCATTGATCTATGTGTCTGTTTTTGTGCCACTGAGCGCAGTTTAATAAACGAGGTAGCATCATATAGTGGGGGAAAACACTAAGAGATGGAAGATTTGGTTTCTGGGCCAGGTTCTATGATTGTACTACCTCTAACTGACTTTACACACAAAGTAATTGATCTCTAGACCTTAACTTACACTTCTATAAAATGGGAAAGCTAATAGTAGACATCCTTATTTGACCCAGTTTCTCTGAGGGTCAAATAAAACAATGCATGTGAAAGATTTTTGAAAACAGTAAATGGGTGCCTGGGTGGTTAAGTTGGTTAAGGGTCTGACTCTTGGTCTCAGCTCAGGTCTTCATTTTTTTAAATAAATTTAAAAATTTATTTATTTGAGAGAGCAAGCACATGAACAGGGTGAAGGGCAGAGGGAAAAGTAGACTCCCTGCTGAGCAGGGAGCCTGACTTGAGGCTCAATCGCAGGACCCTGGGATATTGACTTGAGCTGAAGGCAGATGCCCAACCAAATGAGGATATCCAGGCACCCCTCAGCTCAGGGTCATGAATTCAAGCCCCATGTTGGGTTCCACACTGGGCCTGGAGCCTACTTAAAACAAACAAACAAACAAAACAACAACAACAAAAAAACAAAACTGTAAAGAACCAGGCAGTCGTTAGGCATATTTACTAAAGGCTTCTTGTGTAACCATTTTTGCATTTCCCTAATTTGAAGGAATTGTCAGTTTTCATATAATTTCACTTATCAAGAAAAAGAATCATAGAACATTTTATTATAATTAAGGTTCATGAGATTCAATCCTAACTCTCAACTGGGTGGGAAATAAACTTAATCAAATTAGTTTTAAATTTTCAGTCCTTTGGTTTTACGCACAGATAAGCTACTCACAGCAGATCACTCATATTGGCTGTTAATGTTTAGTCAACCAATGGGCCACAGTTTATTTGTGCAATGCAGTTAGCAGAAATCAGTGTCAGTAGATCTAATGATATATTGCTACACCCATGAACTAGATTCTACAAGATGTCAAAGCGAACAGTATTTTCATCAAGTTCCCCAAAAAACAAAATAAAATGACAAATATCAATTTCATTCTATGGCAGACTCTGGGGCCTAGAAAGATGAGCTTCTAGGTAAAGAGGAAAACTAGTTCAGAATGAAACCCTTGGCCTACCATGTAATCTGGACTAGTGGTTTCTAAACATAGTTGATCATCAAAATCTCCTAGAGTTTAAAAAATTAGATTCCCAAATCCTGTCCTCAGAGATTCTGATTCAGTAGGTGAAATGTGGAGCCTTAGAATCTGTGCTTTTAAAATCTTGCCAGGAAATTCTGAGAATCAACCAGTTTCAAGAAGCATTAGTTAAAATTACCACAAGAGGCATAATGGGAGGTGTTCACCCTCAGCACTGTGTTCTTTAGGGACAATTGAGTCCTTAATTTTGAGCTTTGCAATACAACTGCATACTCTATTATGGTTCTTATGTTTATTGTGAAAATAAACAATATCTCATTGTCAGAGATGAAATATTACTTCTAGGATAGAGATTATCAAACTTTAGTGTACTTTAACATCATTTAGGGAGCTTATTGAAAATTCATATAATATGGCTCCCACTCCCAGAGATTTTGATTCAATTAGTTTGGGACAGGGATCCAGAATTCTGCATTTTATTTTTATTTTGTTAGGATTCTGCATTTTATTTTATTTTATTATTTTTTTTATTATTTTATTTATTCATTTGACAGAGAGATCACAAGTAGGCAGAGAGGCAGGCAGAGAGAGAGGAGGAAGCAGGCTCCCTGCTGAGCAGAGAGCCCAATGTGGGGCTCAATCCCAGGACCCCAGGATCACGACCTGAGCCAAAGGCAGAGGCTTTAACCCACTGAGCCACCCAGGCGCCCCTAGGATTCTGCATTTTAAACAAGCACCATAGATGAATCTGATACACACGACCTAGGGTGTCATACTTTCAGAAATCTTGGCATAGGCAGCTCTCTATATCAACTTAAATATGTTGCCATTGCTATACATGGTCAAAATTTTTAATGATCTTATTTATTTATTTTGAGAGAAAAAGAGGGAAAGAGAGAGCACAGGCTAGGGGGAAGGGCAGAGGGAGAGGCAGAAGGAGGCTAGCAGGTTCCCTGTTGAGCAGGGAACCTGATGGATGAGGGCTTGATCCCAGGACCCCAGGATCATGACCTGAGTCGAAGGCAGATACTTAACTGACTGAGCCACTCAGGCATCCCTATGATCATATTTTCAAATTAATATTTTTAGTGAATATATACATTCTCGCAAAGATATAATTAACACCTTTCAAATTCATTACACTTCATTTAAATCCTTTAAAATGTGGATCAGAATTAAACGGACCTCTTTGGATTTATATAAGACAAAGTTGAAAAGTATGCTTTGATTTTATTTTTTGTATCCTTAGCATTGGATACTTCAATCTAATTTTAGAAGACTAGGAAATGGACCAGTAAGGATTATGTATATGATCATTTGGTTCATTAGAACAAAGGAAAATGTTTAGGTTGTCTCCTGCACATTTTACTATGGACCAAATAGAGCTTCCAGATCACCAGAGTATCAGCTGAAACTAGATCGACAATTCTTATAACCTAGTCCTCTGTCTTGGAGTATTAATCACTAATGTACAATACATTTTTCTATCAGTCAAGTCCACAACCTTCATGTGATTTATTTATTTATTTGTGAGAGAGAGAGAGAGCAAGCACATGTGCAAGTGGGGTGAGGGAGAGAGGGAGAAACAGAAGCAGACTCCCGGCTGAGCAAGAACCTACACACTCCTCCCTGCCCCGCCCCCGCTGCCCTCCACAAGGGACTCCATCCCAGGACTCTGGGATCATGACCTGAGCCAAAGGCAGATGCTTAAATGACAGCCATCCAGATGCCGAACTGACAGCCACTCAGGTACCTCTTCATGTGATTTTTATTAATATTCTATTGTCAGACTAAATTTGTGGGTGCTGCCTGGGTTCAAATCATACAGAACGTGTAAAGAAGAAAATGAAAACCTGCCTGAAATTCCATTATCTGGAGGGAACACTATGCATATTTGGTGAACTTCTATTTATATATACAGGAATATAGATCTGTGTAAAATAGAACCAATATAACACTGTATATGGAGTTTAAGCATTAGAGCATATGCACTTTTCCATGTCATTAAATATTAGTTTTAAACATCATTTTCAGAGTTTCTTTTTTCATTGAAAAATAATTGCAAAACAATGTTGTATTAATTTCAGGTGTACAACCTAGTGACTTGATATTTATGTACATTATAGAATGATTACCACAGTAAGTTTAGTTACCATCTGTCACCATACAAAGTTGTTACAATATTCCCTATGTTGACTATATCTCCTATGCTGTACATTATATCCCCATGTCTTATTTATTTTATAACTGGAAGATTATACCTCTTAATCCCCTTCATCTATTTCACTGAACTCCCACCCGCACTCCCCTCTGGCAACCATCAGTTTGTTCTTTTCCCTTTTTTTCAGCATCTAAAATCTTTTCAATAACAAGCCAGGATCTGGGGTTAGTTTCTGTAGTCTAGGCTGGCCCTGTGTCCTTTGGCACAGCCTAATTTCCCGCCTCTCTGTGGCAGGTGGAGTTTGGTGTGGCTGGGCAGTGTTCCTGGGGCCTTGCCAAAATGCTTGTATACTCTTGGCCTTTGTGTGGACCAGAGAGCAAGACGGTGCCATAGGCCTGGGGGGAGTCCAGGGTCAACTGATCAAAGGTGACGATCTTGCCCCTAGCTTTGAGGATGCTCCTCTGGGCATGGCTTCCCACCAGCAGTGCATACACTTTCAGATTGGGCTTCTCCCGGACACGCACATCATGGATTATAGTCCTTACAACCACAGGTGTTTTGTCTTCTGGACCAGACAGCTTCATCTTCTGGATCATCTGGGAAAAGGGCAAAGGAGGCCAGTTAGTGAGACTCATGATCAACCTCTTTAACACAATTTGGTAAAATGTGGATTTGGTTTGTCTGGCTAGAAACATGTACAGTTTGTCTAGCAGTCTCAGGTAGATGTTCTAGATCTCGGGATCTTTGAGCCAAAACTTTCCGTCCTTGTGGCAAATGTTGACTCCAATGATGGTGCCTCCTGCTCAGCCAGGTCACAAAAGAGAGAACCAGTTTGTTCTTTTTCAGAGTTTCATTTTAGTGGTAACATAGAACCAAGGAATAAATAAAACACTAAATCTAAAAGTAGGTTAAATGTATTTATTTGTGTTCACTAGTCTGTAGTTCCTATTTCATAAGGCTTTTTTGAGTATTAAATGAGTTCCTACATAATGGACATTTAGAACGATGTCTGACATATAGCAAGTGCTCAATTGATGTTGGCTTTATTATTCAAAAGCATTTTTGGTTTCTTTATATTAACAAAAGTTACTAATGCTTTAGATAAGCAGATGACATTACATTTCTCCTGGTTTCTCTCATTAAAGCAGCAAAGTTGAATATTAATGAGTATAGAGAATTATGTTGTCATGCATGTTAGTCTGGAAAATATAAATTCATCCCATAAAAAAGTCAAAGGATCAAAGAAGGTTTTTACTGTTAATTGGAAACAAAGTGTCATTGGTGTCCTGATTTAAAGGGCACTCAATTATGATTAGCTAATAAAAAAAGAACAAAGAAATAAAGAAAAATAATTAAGGTTAAAGTGAAGTTATTATTAGCCCTTAGTTCACTAAAATCTTTTCCTCATAGCCCATGGCACCAAATAAAATTAAATATAGAAAAGTTCCATAATTCACCATGACATTATCAATGTTAAGACATTTTTAAATAAAAAATGCATTACTGAAAGCATACTTGAAAATTATTAGATGCAATATTTTTATAGCCAAAAGCACTCAAATTTTAAGAATTGAACAACTGGAGGACTGGATACTATTTATGGATTTAGAAAGATTTAGTCACTTTCATAAGTTAAAATTCTTTCTTTAAGCCACCTGTTCTTTCTCTCTCTTTAGAAATGGATGTGTTAAAAATAATCTCAAGATTCTCACTATTCCTTATTCTAAGGAAACCACATCAAGAACAAAGTAGGATATTTTTCTTAATTATTGGTAAAGACTTTGGACAGGTTCACGAGCAGTTCACTAATTTGTCATAATCTTTTAATAACATTTAAAAAATGGTCTGGAAAATCTCAGAATAGACACTGCCTAAAAATGAAACCAAGTGACTGACCTAAGTTCAGGGAAGTACTGAAAGTATATGCTACCTTAAACTTTAGCTTAATGAGTTCCTTAATTAGGGAAGACATAATTTAGGGTGTTAAAAAGTCTTGTGGCTGAGTATTTGAATTATTGTATGTTTACATCAATTTAACCAGAAACTACAATTATCAATTAGGGGAAGTCCAAATTAAAAGTTCTTCTAAGAAAGTATTAATGACATACTTTCTTATGTGTTTTAGACATATTTATTCAGACATGGTTATTTATTTTCATAAATGAGAAAGCAAGTAAATGAACCACTAAAACATAATTTTTAAAAAAATGTAGTGTTGTCCAATAAACAACATATAACAGACTCTGCTTACATATATTCTTTCTTGACATAGCATATTTAGTTTTAAATATGTCTAATATATTTTTTAAAAGATTTTATTTATTTATTTGAGAGAGAGACAGTGAGAGAGAGCATGAGCTAGGAGAAGGTCAGAGAGAGAAGCAGATTCCCCGTGGAGCTGGGAGCCTGATGCGGGACTCCATTCCGGGACTCCGGGATCATGACCTGAGCCGAAGGCAGTCGTCCAACCAACTGAGCCACCCAGGCGTCCCTAACTGTCTAATATATTTTGAAGTGTAACCTTTTACTTAGCTCATTATTGTAAGTTACCATTAAAATAAAACTCTGAAAACGATGTTTGCAAAAAATTATGAAGTACACGGAGAGATGTGTAAGATATGCAATGTATGAGAAAAAATGAGATACAGCTGTATACGGAGTATTAGTTTTAAATGTTTCTGTTTTCTCAATTTTCTACAATGAGCACATATTATTTTTAAAGTCAGAATGCATATTTAATTAATGGAACTCTAGTCAATAACCAAACTTTGGTTGGACAATTCAATTTTATTTGTCTTATGATTTTATGAAAGTATAATTTATTATTTCAGCATTTCATATCGTGGAACCCAACTTAGAAAATACATTCATTACCTACCCTGTTATATAATGATGATGATAATCAAGGCAGAAGCCCTTTATAAAACACATTTTTAGCCTTCAGTATGGCAGGTTAAAGAGAAGCAAGGCTTTTTGCTTTGTAAGGTTATTAGCTGAAACCATTAACAGTTATATGGTTTTGGTTAAATAAACAAGAAACATGTAGTACTATAACCATTTTGTCAAGATGCCCAATAACCCTAATATTTTATTACATATAAAACATTGACCCATAACTGAAAATAGGCAGTTTACATAGATATGCTTTAAACATTCTGCTTCCCATTGACTAAAATATCTTCATTGTACATTTCATTCTTGTTCATGATTTTTGAAAATCCAATTCAACAGTTTTTTCTTACTTTATAATACTTAGTTTTAATTTTCCTCACATTGTAAAACCTTAGATAATATAAGACTTATTTAATTTTTTGTTCCTCCTCCTGGATGTGACCTGCTGGGATTTTATTACTCTTTATCCAGGGCCATATCTAGCATTTTTCCATATACCTGACAGGTAAAACAAAGGTTCCATTTAAGAAAAGGACTGGCAAATAGCATGGAGGACAAGGGGAGATGGAGAGGAGAAGGGAGTTGAGGGAAATTGGAAGGAGAGGTGACCCATGAGAGACTATGGACTCTGAAAAACAATCTGAGGGTTTTGAAGGTGGCGGGTGGGAGGTTGGGGGAACCAGGTGGTGGGTATTAGAGAGGGCATGGATTGCATGGAGCACTGGGTGTGGTGCAAAAGCAATGAATACTGTTACGCTGAAAAGAAATAAATAAAAAAAAAAGAAAAGGACTGGCTTGCTCGATTGTGGGATTTTATTGATTGATAAGAATGTCTGTCTGCGGATTGCCTTGAAAAGTCAGAAATTTGAATATGGATTTAGATATCCTAAACCTCATTTTCAAGACAACACCTAGGAAACAATCAAGAGAACCATGTAAATCATTATGAAAATAACAGTAATTGTGTTTCCCAGCCCTGGGTATTTTCTTTTAATGAATTAGGAGAGTAAAGCCTATTACATTATTAATCAGGAAAATAATTAAATTAATTTTAAGAATAGGAAATAGAGGGGCACCTGGGTGGCTCAGTGGGTAAAAGCCTCTGCCTTCGGCTCAGGTCATGATCCCAGGGTCCTGGGATCAAGCCCCGCTTTGGGCTCTCTGCTCGGCAGGAAGCCTGCTTCCCCACTCTCTTTCTCCGCCTGCCTCTCTGCCTGCCTCTCTGCCTACTTGTTGTCTCTGTCTGTCAAATAAATAAATGAAGTCCTTAAAAAAAAGAATAGCAAATAGAAATCAAACCAATTTTAAGAGTTTATCATAAAAAGAACAGAATTTGGAGCAATACATTACAGATGTTTAGAATTTAGAATGTTTGTAGTTCTTTTTAGATTTAAACAGGCATGAGTTTACTTTCTAAATTCAATTTTTATTTACACATATTCATCAGAATTGTAAATGTGAAAAAGTGAAACTAGGATTATGCATATATAAAAACGCTTTTCAGATTATGATTCCAAGATGGGGGTAGAGGGGTATAATACTCTTGGGAAACTGTATTAACAATTTATTAATTGGAGTAGGCCCTGGCTTCAACAAACATGAAGTTAATGGTTATGAACACTCAGTTGGTCACTTACCATAGTTCTCTTTTCATGACATTTATATGTGTCCTGGATATAAATTAGTTTTCTTATTTTTAGTTGTTAATAGATATTTATTTGATACCTGGTATTTAACATTTATATATTATAATTTCAGCCTATGATAGTATTCACCAGTATACTAAAATTACACTGGCTTTTAACAAAAGTATTATGTGAAAAATCTGTACTACAATAACCATAACTTCAGAGAAGAAGTTAAACTTAAGGAGTTGGCAAATGCTTTCTCTTCAATAATCCTTTAAGAATTCCAGGTAACATGACATGTAGGTGTGGTGAGTAAATCAGTTAAACTGTTAAGTGTCTCCTGTGTTCAGTCTTCTCTTGGGACATAAGAGGGGTAAGATAAGCATGGGGTGGACATTGAAAACTCAGAAAACTGTCCATGTCCTTGAAGCTTTTACAGGAGAATTGGATAGAATAGTTAATGAAAGATATAAGATAGAGTGAAATTAAGAGATAAATTGTGAGATATAGAGATTGTATATCACAAAACTAATAAAACTTCGGCTTCAGAAACCCTTATTGGAAGGGGTCCTTTGCAAGGTCCTAGGGGGATAATTTGCTAGGGTTGCCATAAATAAGTACCACAGACTGGTAACTTAAACAGAAATTTATTTTCTCACAATTCTGGAGTACAGAAGTCTGAGATCAAGGTGTCAGCAAGATTGGTTTCTTCTGAGGCCTCTCTCCTTTGCTTGGAGATAGCCATCTTCTCCCTGTGTTTTCATATAATATGTGTCTTTGTCTTAATCTCTTCTTTTTATAAAGATACCAATCTTATATACCAACCATATAACCTCATTTTTATTTAATCATTTTTTAAAGACCTTATCTCCAAATACAGTCACATTCTCAGTCACTGGGAGGTTAAGACTTCAACATAGGAATTTAGGGGAGACACAATTCAGTCCATAATACTCTGCCCTCTAGTCCCCTCCACAAATTCATGTCCTTACCACATACAAATTACATTCACCCCCATCCCAACATCCACAAAAGCCTTAATCTATTTCGACATCCACTCGAATTCCAAAGTCTTATCTAAATCTCATCTAAATCAGATATTGGTGAGACTCCAGGTTTCATGCATTCTGAAGCTAAGTCCTCTACAGCTGTGAACCTATGAAACTAGAAAATTATCTGCTTCCAGAATACATCAGTGGCACAGGCATTCCCATTCCAAAAAGGAAGAAATTGAAAACAAGAAACTGATTATAGGTTACCTTCAAGACCAAAACCTAGCAGGTAAATGCCATTGGGTTTTAAGGCTCAAGAATGATCTTTGACTTTGATGCTCTACCTCCTGGTTCAGCAATGTGACAGTCTCCCTTCCTTGGCTCTAGAAGGTGGCCCTCCCCCCTCAGCTCTGGGTGTTTGCCTGATGCCTCTGGAATGGAGGAGAAGGCTCTGTCCCAGACTTGTGTCCCCTGTGCCCACATTAGCAGTAGCAGCCCCGCTGACCTCTGAACTGCTTTCAGGGCAATTCTTCCTTTTACTTGAAAGATAAAGCCCATTCGCAGGCAGATAGCTCTATTGGACCATCCTGGAGAATCCCAGAAGTCTGATAGCCTTCTTCCAGTCCCCTTCAGGCCATGCTGGCAGAATTTCTCCTGGTATAACTCTTTATTTCCAGTTTCTTCTGAAATGGTTGGTTGGTTGAATCCGTAAGTAATACAGTATAATCTGTTTAGCAAATAGTTGTTCTGCCATACCCTTGATGTTTTCTTCATAACATGCTTTCTCATTTTTGCAATATGAATAGGCTGAGAATTTTCTAGATCTTCCGGTTTGGTTCCTTTTTCCATAATAATCTTTTCTTCAAATTTTCTCTCTTCTCACAACTTACTGTAAGTATCAAGAAGAAACCAAGCCAAGCCTTCAACAAATTGCATAAAAATCTTCTCAGCTAAATATCCAAGTTCATCACTTACAAATTATACTTTCTAAAAAACACTAGAACACAATTTGTACAAGTTCTTTACCACTCTATAACAAAGATCACTTTTCCTTGAGTTTCCAATAGCATGTTCCTCATTTCTATCTGAGATTCAATAGAAGTATCTTTAGCATTCACTATTCACATTTCTACCAACCTTTTTGTTCATGATGCTATATGTTTATCTCTAAGATTATAAGAGTGTTGTATATAGTTCTCCTCTTTTCCTTCTGAGTCTTAACTAGAATTGCCCTTAATGCCCATATTTCTACCAATCGTCTCTTCAGTGCAATCTAGGCTTTTTCTAGCATGCACCTCAAAACTCTTCGAGACTCTACCTATTACTCAGTTCCAAAGCCATTTCCACATTTCACCTTTTTTTCCCACCTTCATTTGGCTCATATAGATTGGGACTGAAGTAGCTGCAAGCACATTAGGCATCTGGCTAAGAGGAAGTTGAGTTGGAAATTTTTTAGTTTGGCTTTAGGAGGATTTATCTATGTGGTTCACAGTTACTTTTATTTATAGTAATTACTAGCTGCCCCAGGATAAGAGTAGTTTACAGGAATACTCCTATCGCCTCCTATGCCTACAACATAAAGATGCAAAGTTGGAGGTGTGTTGTGATATGAACAGGACCTATAGCTCCTGGCACTGGAAATACGAAATATGACGGAAATAAAGGATAAGCAAGATTTGAAATGTATGAAACCAGAAGCCTGTTTATGCAAAAGTCTTCCAAACATTAAATATATAAAATTATTAGCAGAAGATTTAGTTGTCACCAGAGTCTAGTCAAGTGTTCTTTCCTATCAGGAATGTTCTTGATAATTTTATTATAAAAGGATCATATGTTCCTTTTCATTTTTGATGGAAATTATATGAAATATAATTTATCACAATTTCTGCTTGCAGGGCACTTATTCTATAACACTATTATAAATAGTGAATGCATCTGTATGATGTCACATGTTTATGCATATTTATTAGTAATATTAGAAAAGCCACCAAGTAGGATCCACTGTGTAAAAGAAAGACTAAATTTCTATTCCCTCTCTAGACAATAAGATTTATAAAATATTACTCTTATGAAGATATGATCAATATTATGCATCCAAAAAAATGAATATATCCAGTAGATAAGTAATAAAATTTGTTATTTTTCTTGATTTTTTTCAATGCTTGTAGTATTTGTCAGTAACTTGAAAGGTGTAATTTGTTGTGATTTATTTCCTAACTCTAAACAAATGTTCACTTTTAAACTTAACTGTATATTAACTTTCTTAAATATAGTTCCCCAAATTGTATATAAACTAAGTTCCCCACAATGTTTGGATTCACCCCTCAGTAGAGGTTATTCATGCTGAAGGAAATCAGGAAGGAGAGATCAATAAAAATTAGAATAATCAGGGAAATTCAGTAGTAATTTTTATGGAAAGAAATCAGTTTTATTCCTCAAACACTTGGGTCATCTATGTAGAGCAATTTTTTTTGTTGTTTTGCTTTTTTTCTCCAACAACATAGAATTTCTTTCTTTTTAAAAAAAAATTATTTTTTTATTTGACAGACAGAGGTCACAAGTAGGCAGAGAGGCAGGCAGAGAAAGAGAGACGGGGAGAAGCAGGCTCCCTGCTAGGCAGAGAGACCAATGAGGGACTGGATCCCAGGACCCTGGGATCATGACCTGAGCTGAAGGCAGCGGCTTAACCCACTGAGCTACCCAGGCGCCTCAACATAGAATTTCTTGTAAAGTGGCAGGAAGTCAGTAATCAGAGTTATTAAGAATTATTGTGCCCTTCTGAGACCAATGATATTGTGGCAAAGTATTTCGACTGCCCTGTGGCAGGCATTTTCCACTTATTTGCCGACACAGAACCCTAAATTCATTCCCAGCCCCAGGGAGTGGATCATGGTTGTTTTAAGTTACCCTTTGCTTTGTTAGTGATTGGTGGAAGTATAGGCTTGTTACCTAATTCTTGCGAGTGAAAGAAGTCTGATGGGGGCTTCCTGGGAAAGGTTATTATCCCCCCCTCAAAAAAAGGTGAGAACTAAGAAAAAATTCCTTTTTTCCTTTTGCCATGTTTCAGATATTGGTATATGAATGTGGTATTTGGAGCTGTGGCAATAATCTTTTGATTACAACAGAATGGCCAAGTGAATTGAAGTGATATCAACCTAGCAGTAGTACTGTGAAATCACCGAAGTCCAAAATCAGCTCTGAAACAGCTTGATTCCAAAATTCTAGTTATGAAAAATAATTAAATATTGCTATTTATATCACTGCTGGTCAGATTTTTTTGTATCCAACTAAATGATACCTGATAAAATTTGGAATGAAGAAAGGAGAAAGCTTTGATACTAGCTCTCATATTAACAAATGCTTTCTCTCAAAACACAACTGTAGTGATGTGCCTTATAGTCTGAAATACAATACTTGAAACGTTTTTATTAATTTTCGTGTGGAATGCCCAATTAAAATGGAACTTTATTAAATGAAAAGTTTAAAAAAAAAGATTTTATTTATTTGACAGAAAGAGAGAGAGAGCTCAAGTAGGCAGAGTGGCAGGCAGAGGGAGAGGAAAAGAGAGAAGCAGGCTACTCACTGAGCACAGAGCTCAAGACGGGCTTGATCCCAAGATCCTGGGATCATGACCAGAGCTGAAGGCAGACACTTAACCAATTGAGCCACCCAGAGGCCCCTAAATGAAAAGTTTTAAAGAAAAGTTTTACTGAGATATAATTCACATACTGTGAAAATTATTTTAAAGTGTACAATTCAGTGATTTTTTTGCTATGCTCACAAAGTTGTGCATTGATCATCATTATGTAATTCCAGAACATTTTCATCACTCTAAGGAGGAACTCTATATCCATTAGTAGTCACTTCTTATCTCTGTATCCCCCAGCCCCTACTACAAATCTACTTTCTGCTGCTATGAATTATCTTATTCTGGACATTTCATATAAATGGAATCAAACAATGTAGGGGTGTCTGTGTCTGGATTCTTTCATTTAGTATAATGTTTCCATTTATGATGTATTATGAATTAATCGTTATTTCATTTATTTTCATGACTAAATAATGTTCCATTGTATGGATATACCACCTTGTGTTTATCCACTTATCTGTTGATGGATATTTGGGTTGTTTCCACCTTTTGGCTATTGTGAATGTTGCTACGAACATTTGTTTACAAGTTTTTGTTTGAACATCTGAATTGAAATAATTCAATTAGTTTTTATTAATTGTTGAAATAATTCAACAAGTTTTTGTTTGAACATCTGAATTGAAATAATTCAATTATTTCAGGTATGCTCCAGGAGTGCAATTTCTGGGTCATATAGTACTTTTTGTTTTTATTTTTTGGGAAACTCTGAAACTGTTTTTCAAAGTGTATGCACCATTTTCCATTACTACCAGCACTATATGAGGATTGCAACTTCTTCCTCACCAACACTTCTTTTTGTCTGTCCTTTTGGTTATAGCCATCCTAGTAGGTGTGAAGTGATAGTGTGGTTTTGGTTTGCATTTTCCCTATGACTAATGATTTTGAATATTATTTCATATGCTTCTTGGCTGCTGGAGAAATATCTATTCAGATCTTTCACCCATTTTAAATTGGGTATTTGTCTTTCTGTTGTTCAGTTGTAAGAATTCTGGATTCTAGACCCTTATTGAATATATGATTTGTAAATCTTTCTCCTATTCTGTGGGTTGTCTTTTCATTTTCTCAAACATTTTTAAGTTTGGTGAATTTTAAATTTGTCTATTTTTTTCTTTGGTTGTCTGTGCTTTTGGTATCATATTTAAGAAACCATTGGAAATATTGGAGGCTGGAGTATGGTGACAAATTTCCACAGTAGAGAGGATGAGAGCTTGAGGCATTTTGTTTGGATATTAAAGGGGACTTGCTAACATCTGAGCTATACTTAAGAACATGTCCAAAATACAATATTAAATGCTGACCATCTATATCAGAATCACCTAAACGTACTTGTTAAAAATACAAGTCATGTGGCTCCCTCCAACATATCAAACCAAATCCATGGGCCTTGGGTTTGAGACTATGAATTCTTTTTTTTTTTTAAATATGAGTTCTAAACAAGCTCTTTAATAGATTCTGCTGTGTATAGAAATTTAAGAATCACTGAACTATGCCATGTTTCCCTCCAGCAAGCATAAAATACAAATTTTTAAATTCTTGATAAGCGTCAGCATTATTATAAACTTCCATTAAATTCAATGTAACATTATAAAATGTGCTCATAATTTGTGCCAGGCATTGTGCTTGGCACCAACAATATTCTGCAGAGAAAATATACTGAGACTGTTTCAATATTATAATTACTATAGTGTATACAAACATATATAGATATACCACACAGGCACATGCATCAGGCACAAAATGATAATTTCAAAGCTAGTTTTATTGATTCATTTAATGACTCCACAGAATTACATTATGGGAGTCTAGATGTTAGGCCCATTTGGTCATAACAATGATTTAGTAATGAGAATAAAATTTTTATTTTATTTTATTTTTAATTAATTTGTTTCCTTTTTTGAAAATTTTATTTTTAACTAGTCTCCACACCCAACATGGGGCCCAAACTCATAATCCCAAGATCAAAAGTGGTATGCTCTGCTGACTGAGCCAACCTGCAGTCCAGAGAATAAAATGTTGTGCTTTTCCTTAAAGATATACATTATAGAAATTTGCTCATTTGCATCCGATAATATTTCCTTTATCTGCATGCTGGTTGTCTACAATTGTGTAACAGATTACCATAAAACTTACAGCTTTTAAACACAAACATTTATTATCTTGTGATTTCTGTTAGTCAGGGATCTAGGAGCTGGTTAGTTGG